CCAAGCTAAACAGTTATAGCTTGTATACACAGGTCCTAGCACAGTTAACATACTGTGCACTCAGGGCTGGAGAGATGACTCAGTGTGTAAGAGAATGCACTGTTTATGGAGCAGACCAGGGTTCAGTTCCCTGCACTCACATCAGACGGCTCACAACCACCTGTAACTTGAGCTTAAGGGATCCAACACCCTTTGTGTTCCATTCCATGGAATCTGACACCCTCTGCTCTATGCAGGGACCTGTGTACTCTCAGTGCGCATAAACTCAGACACATACAGACAATAAACAAGCTTTAGAATATTGTATTCTTTTTTTCCTGAGAATTGTTGTTCTGTTGGGCTACTGTTCATTAAAACCAGGACCACCTACTTGGGTTCTACTACCAAGCATTGCCCCCAAGTCTCTAAATAGTATATGAAAAATCACATAATATTGGAGATTTCAGCAATAGAGGCTTGGCTTCTGGGATTCGCAACAAATCATGTCCAGCCACTCCAGAAAATGTAATGATGAAAGGCCTGAAAAGAGTTTATTCTCCTTAACTACATGGGAAAGACGGGGTCAAACCTCCTCAGTCCACCCTGGCAGGTACCGACTGGAGCCTCAGATTCCCATATTACAAGGGAAGAATTTGGGTAGGGGCATGAGGTATGTATAACTAAACAGACTTATGTCAGGCTCCTGGATTATGGGGCGTTTTATTGCTTGGGCAGGCAATTTTGTTCCCCTGAGAAGACTATTCCTATTTGGCACATGGATGGAGAGACAGCCTTCTCCTGGGATGATCTGTCTGTGTCCCTGTCCTGGTGGGTTTGGGGCTTTGCCTGGAGACTGCCATTGCAGGGACCCGCAATTGTCTCAGTGACTCTGGGAAATACTTTCGTTCCTCTTATCTTGGTGTCTTCAGTCAGTGTGGAGGAGGATTACCAGCTTTAGATGGACATTCCCTAAGTGAGTAACAAGAATGAGCAACAGAATTGAGCAACAGAATTGAGTAACAGAATTGAGCAAGAATCTGACCCAAAGGTTTCAAGCATAGAGGAAACAGGTGCAACAAGAGCCAGCGCTGTGAGCCATTTGTCCTGCTTTAGCCCGTCATTAGACACGTGCCAGGGCCAAGGGAAGAGTCAGTGTTTTTTTGTTTTTTAAAGATTTTATTTATTTATTATGTATACAGTCTTCTGCCTGCATGCCAGCAGAGGGCACCAGATCTCATTCAAGGTGGTTGTGAGCCACCATGTGGTTGCCGGGAATTGAACTCAGGACCTCTGGAAGAACAGTCAGTGCTCTTAACCGGGAGCCATCTCTCCGGCCCCGAGTCAGTATTTTGTAGCAAAACACTCCCATCAAATTAACCATTTAAAGGGAATGGAGTCAGTAGTGTTAAACATATTGACAATGCACAATCACCAGTGGTATATTGCTTTATAACATTTTATTCTTCCAAAAGGAAATTTCATACCCACTAGCAGCTTTTCCCTATCACCCTTATTCCCAACAGCCTCTAATTTTGTTCTCTTTTCCATACTCTAAACATCTGACAGAAATGGACTAATAAATTATGTGGCCCTTTGGCCCTTGCTTCTTTCATCTAACACCATGTTTCCCGAGTCTATCCATTGAATTAGCGCGTCACTTCTGTTCACACTGTTACTTGATTCTCCGGGTGGGCTACCACAGCTCGTTTATCATTTATTTGTTCACATATGTTTAGGCTAGTTTCATCTCTTGGCTGTGTGAATAGCACTTTTAGTAATGCTTCTGATTGGGTCCTTTTTCATTTCCTTGAGCATGTACCTGGGAGTAGAATTGTTGGTTACATGGTGATCCTGTCTTTAACTTTGCAGCAACTGGCAGCATGTTTTTCACAGTGACTGAACTGAACTATTTTGCTTTCCTGGCATTTTCTGAGGTTGCAGTTTCTGGCAACCTTGTCAGTATTTTTTTTTCCCCCTCTCTATTATTTTGAGAGTCAGTACCTTATTGTGGCTTGCTCTTCATTTCCCTAAATTATTAATGATGTTGAAGTTCTTTGTGCATTGTTATTAAAGCTCTTTGGGAAGATACCCATTGGGAAGATATTTCTCTCTCTCTTTTTTTTTTTAGATTTATTTATTTGTGGCGTATACAGTTCTGTCTGCGTGTGTGCCTGCAGGCCAGCAGAGGGCACCAGATTTCACTACAGATGGCTGTGAGCCACCATGTGGTTGCTGGAAATTGAACTCAGGACCTCTGGAAGAGCAGCCAGTGCTCCTAACCACTGAGCCATCTCTCCAGCCCCCTCTTTTAACTTTTTTAAAAGTTGTTTGTTTTGTTTTTTGGAGACAGGGTTTCTCTGTGTAGCCCTGTCCTGGAACTTGCTCTGTAGACCAGACAGGTCTTGAATTCAGAGATTCACCTGTCTCCACTTCCTGAATGCAGGGATTAAAGGTGTTTGCAACCACTGCTCATCAGTCTTCTCTGTTTTAAAGAGTAGATTGTTTGTGTTTTTGTTTTTGATTTCAAGAGTTATATATTTTGGATATTTTTTAAAAAAGATTTATTCATTTATTATATATACAGTATTCTGTTTGCATGTACATCTGCACACCAGAAGAGGGCACCAGATCTCATTACAGATGGTTGTGAGCCACCATGTGGTTGCTGGGAATTGAACTCAGGACCTCTGGAAGAGCAGCCAATGCTCTTAACCTCTGAACCATCTCCGCAGCCCCTATTTTGGATATTTTTATCTTTAACAAATAATGCAAATATCTCTCCCATTCTGTAAACTCTCCTCTTTCTTCCACTCTCTTGGTCCCCACTTTCTCTTCTCTTTTGCTCCCCTCTCCCTCTCTTTTCCTCCCTCTCCTTCCCCCTTTGCCTCTCTTCCCTCCCCTTTTCTCCCCTCCTTTCCCCTGCTCTCCCTTCTCCCATCTCTTCTCTCTGATATTTCCCTCTCCTCTCCTTTTCTCTCCCCTTTCTTTCCCTCTTCCCCTCCCCCTTCCTTCCATCGCTTCCTTTGCCTTGCCGTGTAGTCTAGGTTGACTTTGAACTCATCACCCTCTTGCATTAGACTCCTCAGCCCTGGGTCACAGATAGACCACTTCCTCAGCGCTGGGTCACAGATAGACCACTTCCTCAGTGCTGGGTCACAGATAGACCACTTCCTCAGTGCTGGGTCACAGATAGACCACTTCCTCAGTGCTGGGTCACAGATAGACCACTTCCTCAGTGCTGGGTCACAGATAGACCACTTCCTCAGTGCTGGGTCACAGATAGACCACTTCCTCAGTGCTGGGTCACAGATAGACCACTTCCTCAGCCCTGGGTCACAGATAGACCACTTCCTCAGCCCTGGGTCACAGATAGACCACTTCCTCAGCCCTGGGTCACAGATAGACCACTTCCTCAGCCCTGGGTCACAGATAGACCATTTCCTCAGCCCTGGGTCACAGATAGACCACTTCCTCAGCGCTGGGTCACAGATAGACCACTTCCTCAGCCCTGGGTCACAGATAGACCACTTCCTCAGCCCTGGTTCACACATACACCACTTCCTCAGCCCTGGGTCACAGATAGACCACTTCCTCAGCCCTGGGTCACAGATAGACCACTTCCTCAGCCCTGGATCACAGATACACCACTTCCTCAGGGCTGGGTCACAGATAGACCACTTCCTCAGTGCTGGGTCACAGATAGACCACTTCCTCAGCCCTGGTTCACACATACACCACTTCCTCAGTGCTGGGTCACAGATATACCACTGCGCTGGGTTTCCTTTCATTTTCTCACTACTAATGCATTAAATTTGGGAATCTTGATTAAGTTCAGTTTCCCTGTGTTTCTTTGTTTAGGTTTTTTACTATCATATCTAGGAACTCATTGCCAAATGCAGGGTCTTAGAAAATTAATTTTATTTATTTTCTGAAAGATTTGTGGCTTAACTTTATGTGTAAGTCACTGATCAATTTTAAGTTGATTTTTATATACAATTAGCCTCCACCTTTGTTCTCCCCTGTGTAGACATTTCCTGTGCATATGGGTTTATTTTTGTGTTCTCAGTTATATTCATGCCACTTATTTGTTGGTTTTGTTTTAAAGCAGAGTCTCATTCTATAGCCTTGGATGGCGTGGAACTCATTGAGATCTACCTGTCTCTGCCTCCCCAATGCTCGTACCTGGCTGTGTGTGTGTATGTGTGTGTGTGTGTGTGTGTGTGTGTGTATGTGTATGTGTATGTGAGATAGAGAGATTATTTATGAATATATATGAATGTATATATGTGATTATATATATATGTGTGTGTGTGTGTGTGTGTGTGTGTGTGTGTGTGTGTGTGTTTTGCCTGCATATATATCTGTGTGTCTGTGTGTCACATGTATTCAGTGCTCATGGAAACCAGAAGAGGGTGTTAGGTCCCCTGGGACTGGAGTTATAGCTGGTTGTGAGCAGGTTGTGTATGCTGGGGATTGAAACTGGGCCATCTGTAAGAGCAGGTGCTACTAACCACTGAGACATCTCTCCAGCCTTTTTTTTTTTTTTTTTTCAAGACAGGGTTTCTCTGTGGCTTTGGAGGCTGTCCTGGAGCTAGCTCTTGTAGACCAGGCTGGTCTTGAACTCACAGAGATCCACCTGCCTCTGCCTTCCCAGTGCTGGGATTAAAGGCGTACGCCACCAATGCCCAGCCATTTGTTTTTTGAGATATGTTTCACTATGTAGCCAGGCTGTCCTAGAATTTGCAGTGATCCTCCTGCCTCAACCTTCCCAATGCTGGGATTACAGGTTAAGCCCATTTACCCTGGTTATATATTTTTGTTTGTTTGTTTTTGAGAGCACTAGCTGGCCCAGAAATTCTGATGTAGACCAGGCTGTCTTGTAGTACAGAGATCCACCAGTTTAAGGTTTTCTGAATGCTGGGATTAAAGGGGTGCTCCACTACACCCGGCTTTGCCAGGATGGTTCTTGCCATTTGCTTCTATATGAGCTGAGTGTCTTGTTTCTCTTCCTCTAACAACAGGACCGTGGGGTTGACAGCTCCATTTTTCAGAATCCCAAAAAGCTTCACCTAACTATTGGGATGTTGGTGCTTTTAAGTGAACAAGAGATCCAGCAGACGTGTGAGATTCTGCAGCGTTGTAAAGAGGAATTCATTAAGTACGTAACTGGGAGCGATGGGAGGGAGGGCAGTCCAGGCTGGAGTCTTCATAGTCACAGGCTTGTTTTCAGATGAGGGAGCTGAAGGACATGGAAATCAGCTCATGATAGTTAACAATGTGGATTTGTTGACTCGATTATTAAAACATATATAAGATCTATCTATTTTATGGGGATGAGTGTTTGCTTGCATGTGTGTATGTGTACTTTGTGTGTGCTTAGTGTCCATAGAGGTCAGAAGGTGTCAGAACGCCTAGAAACTGGAGTAACAGATGTTTGTAAGCCATCATGTAGGTGCTGGGAAACAAAGCTTGGTCCCTGCAAGAGCAGGTGTTCTTAGCTGCTGAGCCATCTCTCCAGCCCTGACTGGTTCATTTATAGTACTTAACACTGGACTATCAACTGAAGGTTTGAAATTTGACTTAAAGCATGCATTTACAATTTTTAAATTATCCAGAGTAGAGTATTACTACAGCTTCAGTGGCTTAAGACAACACACATTCATCTGGTTTACCAGGAAAGGGGAGGGAGGCCTAGGCTGGGGTCTTCAGTATCAGGCTTGTTTTTAGATGAGAGAGCTGGATGACATGGGGATTTTATTGTTTATTTATTCATTTCTTTAATTATAAAGAGAACATATGCATAAGCCATGGCACACATGTGAACATCCGAGGGCAGCTCACAGGAGTCAGTTCCTTTCTACCATGCAATTCCAGGGATCAAGCCCAGGTTCAGACTTGCTGCCAGCACCTTCACCTGCTGAGCCATCTCACCGGACTGTCAGGAGACTTATATTGAGTTCATTGGACTGAAATCAAAGTCGTGGCAGAGCTGTGTCCTTTCTAGTGTTTTAAGGAAAAATATCTTTTTTTTTTTTTTTTTTGCCTTTAAAGTCTAGCTTTTAGAGATTTCTCACATTATGGCTTCTTTCCCCCACCTTTAATTCTAATATTGCATTTCTCTGTACCTTTAGTTGTCTCCTCTCTCTGTGATTACAGCAGGAACAAGCTGTTGGCTTTTAGGACTCTGACTTGATTGAATCCATCTGTAATCATATTGATCCCTGTTATCAAGCCCCTTAACTGAGACATGAAAGATAAAGGGACCTAGTTCTCTTGGAGGGCATATCACAATAGCTCAGACGGTACTGCAGCATTCTTTAGGAAAGGATAGAATGCTTCCCCTCCTGCCTTCTCTCCCCTTTCCCATTCCTTCTTCCACTCCTCCTCTTCTTCCATCTCTTACTTATTTATCAATAACATGGTCTCACTGTGTTACTTCAGTTACCGGACTCAGCCTCTTGAGTAGCTGGGATTTTATGTTGCCTAGGCTTGTCTGAAATTTTTAGGGCTCAAACAAATCTTGCAGCCCCACCTTCCTGGGTACTGGGATTATAGGTGTACACCACTGTACCTGGTAACGTTAAAATAACAAGAGGAGGAGGAAAATGGCTGTGATGATGTACACATGTAGCTCCCAGAGGCTGAGGCAGGAAAATCTTAAATTTGAGGCCCACCTGACTCACAAGACTCTACCTCAGAAATGTAAAGATCAGCCTAATGTGGTATGGTGGTGCATGCCTGTGAGTCCAGGACTTGGGGATGGAGATGGTTATCCCTGACTACGTAAGCCTGTTGAAAGGAAGTGTGGGCTTCATGAGACCTTGTCTTGAGCAATCAAACAACCCTAGCCTCCCCCTGTAGGGAGACACCGTAACCACGCCTCCTCTCTGGCCCCGCTGCTCGGCTGCCCCTGGTACGCTCTGGCTTGCTTTTGGCTGGTATTTATCTCAATAAAGATATCTTGACCTTTCGGATTATGGATTGTCTCTTGGGTCATGCAATATCCCCACCTCCATCCCCCAAAAAAGGTAAAAGCAATTTAAGGGGCAAATATCGATATCTTTTTTTTAGTCAATAAGAATATCAAGCCATGGGGCTGGAGAGATGGCTCAGAGGTTAAGAGCACTGACTGCTCTTCCAGAGGTCCTGAGTTCAATTCCCAGCAACCACATGGTGGCTCACAACCATCTGTTATGAGATCCGGTGCCCTCTTCTAGTGTGCAGATATACATGGGAGCAGAATGTTGTATACATAATAAATAAATAAAATATTTAAAAAAATGAATCTCAAGCCAGGCATAGTGGTGCACTTCTTTCATTCCAGCACTCAGGTGGCAAGGCTGTGGGTTTGGGACTAGCCTGGTTTCTAAGGCAAGTTCCAAGCTAGCCAGAATTGCATAATGAGACTCCATCTCACAAAAAGAAACAAAAAGCCAAAAAACAACTAGGGATTCTCTCTGGCCAGGCTGACTTGTTACTTATTTTTTCAACTGTAAAAATTGAATTTACACCTACATCTTACATTGAAGTATCACTTCAAAGAGTCTCCTCTTCTCTCCCTCTTTCTCTTTATAGTTCCCACTTTATTTTTTTCTCAGATGGTTTTTCTTTTCTCCTTTGAAGGTATTGCATACAGCTGAAGAGGGGTTATTACACACAGATAGACAAGAAGGCAGGATTATTATATACAGCTGAACAAGGAAGCAGGTTTAGCCTGTCTTGGAAGGGGCAGTCTACAGGGAAGGAAGTAGTCTTCAGGCCGTAATCAGTGTGTAGGGGGAGTGGTTCAGTAGACATTTTCCACACACACCGTCAGCATTCAGACCAGAAGAAGGCTTAGCAACCCTCTCAGCCTCATCCAGGGAAGGCTTTTTCACCACCATGGGACTGAAACATTGGGGTCCATGTCATGTCAATAGCACACACTCAGGGCTTCCTTTACCCGGGCCTTCCTCTGCTTCCCACAGTGGCTCAGTGGAGAAAGTACTTCGTGCACAAGCATGAGGACCTGAGTTTGTGTCCCCAGAACCCATGTAAAGCCAGACGTGGGAGAACACATCTGTAGTTCCGGCATTCCTGTGTTAGGATGGGAGGCTGGGACGAAGAATCAGAGATCCTGTCTCAAACAAGGTGGAAAGCAAGGACCACACCTGAGGTTGTTCCTTTATGTCCACACAGTTGCCATGGCACGCGCGCACGTGCCACACACACACACACACACACACACACACACACAAAAAATCTTAATTTTAAGAATCCCCTTATTATATACAGGTGCCACACTGTTCTAAGATGCCCTGTAGAAATGAGTCACCTAAGCTAGGTGTGGTGGCGCATGCCTTTAATCCCAGTGCTCTGCAGGCAGAGCCAAGAGAATCTCTGAATTTGAGACCAGCTTGGTGTACAGAATTTGTTCCAGGACAGTCAACGTGGCTCACTGGGCAGAACAAGGCAAAAAGATCTAAAGTTTTTCTCTGTGTTGCATAGAAGACTCTATAGTGCATTGATTTGTTTTGGGGACCAGTTACCTGTCTTTTTCTTCTTCTTGTTCTTGTTCTTCTTCTTCTTCCACCTCCTCCTCCTCCTTCTTCTTCTTCGCCTCACTATGTAACCCTGGCTAACCTGGAACTGACTATGTAGAGCAGGCTGGCCTTGAACTCACAGACATCCACCTGCTTTTGCCTTCCCAGTGCTGGGGGATTAAAGATGTGTAACACTACTCCCACTGTTTTATCTTTTTTTAAATCTTACTTAAGACTCCAAATAATTTGGTATTCATCATTAGATAGTTGTAGTTTTCTTCATAAAATAAAAACATTTAAAGGTCTCATACTTCATTATATTCTCAATTCTTTTTGCTACACTAAACTGAAAGTAGCTACATTTTCCTGGCTGCCAGTGGGATAATCCTGCTAAGGAAAAAAAAAAAGTAGAGTTAGATAAAATATTATGTACTGAAGTATTTGTTCTTCTTGCCTTAAGAAAACCAGGCCACAGGTTTTAATCACTGAGTTTTAATCCTAAGCTATGGGCAGACCTAGCCGAGTACATCCCTTTTGTGTATTTAGTGCCTTTTGTGACTCACTGCCAAATCAGAGCCTGGAAGCCTGTCAGAGTCAGTGTGCACTGGGAATAAAGAACAGTCCTAATAGTTCTAAGGCTCTGATGTGACAGGATGAAAACGGTAATTGTAGTTTTTCAAATTCAGCAAAGCTTTTGAAATAGGACAAAGTTGCCCTGCCAGAAATCTGCAGTGCATGCAGAAAGATGTTCGAAGATGCTCTTTTCAAAAAGCTGGGAAGATTGGAGACCAGCAAGTAAAGTAAAGCAAGCCCCACTCCTCTGAGCACCCCCAGCCCTCTTCTCCTGTGCTCTGTGCACTTGTTTAAAACATCTACAGTGCAAACTCAATTTTTTTGATGTCAGATCAGGGTCTGAGTCAGGTGTCTGGAGTGCTTAGAGACCAGTTTCCCCAAATGATGAGATGTCAGACACACACAAAAAAATTGTATTAAACTGTGGTGAGTAAATTATCTTTTGATTTTTCTTAGGTTTGTCCTTTGCCCTCAGCCTTTACAGTGGTGCCCTTAGGAGGTATGCCAGTGTGTAATGGCATTTCTATCCCCAACCTGCTATGCTGTAAAGATCCCAAAATAAAATGTGCAAGGGAAAACATTGGAACCAAGAGGACCAGTGTTGGCTGTGCCATACTTGATGATGTTTCAAGTTGGAATATTAAAACAAACATGACTTATTTTGGGATTTGATAAAAGCCAAGTGCTGTGTGGGTCTTTGAAGGATGTAGGTAGTTGAGATCTGGAAGTAGCTGTTGATGCTCTCCAGGATGCCCTCTACCCCAAACCCAGATTTCTGTTGAAATTCCTAAGCTTGAGCCTCATACAACTCAGTAGATTTTGAATGAATTATTCAGTGTAGAGGAAACTCTGATGATCAAATGTGTCCCTTGTGATTTTTCTCTGTGGGATGTAGGGCAGTGGCATGGAGTATCTGCTTTGACAAATATGAGCTTCCTCCCCTTATCAGTTCCAGCATCCGTCTTCTGAAGCCTGAGAATCCCTCACAGGCAAGAGCTTCAACAAGTAAACCTGAGAGGGACAAAGGCTGGGGAAGAGAAACCAGCTGTGGACAGATGCTAAT